AAAAATATTTATGAATAATCTATGATTTTCTGGGAAATAGGTGAGAAAGAGAATTTTAAACCGAGGAAATATGCAAACTTGAATCCTATTGTAACGTCACGTGGGATATGACAAGAACACATGGATTTGGAAATTTTCTTAGCATAGTTTATCATGTTTAGATATAGTATAATGCATGGACATGTTTTGAGAAGATTAGTATGGATGATATTTTGGGAGTTTCTGTTATGGAACATTGTATTTTATCTTGACTGAATTTCAATTATTTTTATTGTTTTCCAATGTGAAATTTTGAATTCAAAATTTTAAGGATATGAAATAAAAATGGAAAAATCTAAAAAACAAGGATCAAAACAACCGCGTTTGACATTAAACACAACTGTGTGTAATTTCGCAATGGATATCCATATTTCCATAGAGTTACATGGTCATGTTCAAATCAAACACTACAGTGATTAGGTTAACCTTGGATGTCCACTGGACAATTCCAAAGATATACACGGTCGTGTTCAATATAAACACGGCCATGTATGATTTTTCTTTGACAACCACAATCATAAAGACATACACGGCCGTGTAATAGCAACCATAACCGTGTGTTTAAATATAATTTGACTAGAGAGATAGACGGCCGTGGCCATGTAAACACAAACACAGTTATGTGTTTAAATATGGTGTGACCAGAGAGATGCACAACCGTGTGTACGAAAGATTTTTTGGATTTTGTTAAATGTACGGCCGTGGTCGATTTAATTTTAAGTTTTTACCATAGTTTTCCGGTCAAACACAAATAAGATTCTTCTCCCTCCTCTCGCGATTTTACCTTTTCCCGGTGACGGCAACGAATGATTGGCGTGCGGACGAGGTGTGCGGCGTCTATTTGGGGCGAGTTGAAGTTTAAATCATGAACTTAATTTTTTTCTTCGACTCAAAGGTAATGTATGGTTCTTTTTGTTGTTTTTTTAATTTTTTTTTAGTTTGTATATAATTGGTTGTTATGTTGAGCTTGGTAATTTTTTGTTTTGTTTTTTTTTTTTTTTTTTTAAAGTATTGGATTATGTTATATTTTGTTTGAAGAATTTATGAATAATATATATTTTTTGATTTTTATTGTTTTGCATGTAATATATATTATTTGATTTTTTTGATGATTTACGTTATAAATTTTAGTTTTTGAATTTTATTTTTAATGTAGAAGAATAATGACTGAGGATGATGGTAAGGCTAAGAGAGGCCGAACTGATGCAAGTTCTTTGGTAGCTACTCCGCGGATTGAGCCGGATGATGATGTTTTAAGTTTCAATGAATTATAACATACAGAATGATACGAAAGATTTAAGAGTAGATCATTTTCAAAGAGTGAACATATCGATTGAAATGCTTTGTTTATTTTGGGGATGAGGGATAAAGTAGAGACTTTGGTTTCGGTAGGGGCGTGGGTTCATTTTTTTAAGATTGTAGAGTTAAGTTATAGAAATTTAACTTTGGAGTTTATGTCAACTCTAGATTATGGCTCGATGAATTATAATTATGAAAAACTGAAAACGTTGATGTTTAGGCTACAAGGTAAGATGTTTTGATGTCACTGACTGGATTTCCAGTGGTAATGGGTTTATACGATAAGGACTTCGTGGAATCGGATGATTTCCAAGGCTTGCCTACTCTTATGCCTATTCAATCGTAGTGTACTGGTCTAGTATTAGTACAGAAGTGGCTTACGATTCCGCACGTTCTAAGGCATCGACTCTTTGGTATCCGCCACTACGGTATATGTATTGTATTTTGACTAATTCACTTTCAGGTCATGGAGAGAGCACCATGGTAGTCTCTAATATTGATTTATGCTATCTTCGGAGTATGCTTGAGCGTCAGCCTATCAATTTGGGTTTTATGCTTGCTCGATTTATGATACATCAGGTCAAAGACGACCGTCTGAGAAAAATTTCTCTTGGTCTGTATATTACTCGACTGGCAAAGAGCCTTGAAGTTTTTTATGAAGAGACCGAGGATCCAATCTTTTTGATCCAATCTTTTTGATGCAACCTTGTGCTTTTTGGATACAGCAGATGATGGGGATGGTTGGGAAGGTTACGAGAGGATGAATAGATAAATATGTATTGGTTGATAGGGCTGATGTCCCTGTAGATGAAAGTGATGAGCTTCCCGCTGATCATGGCGTGCCGGAAGGTGATCAGTCCGATCGCATGGTTCACGATACCATACCCATTGACATGTTGGCCATTGATGATTTACGCATGGATATGCATCACCTATGGACGATATGCAAATGGAGGTGAACCGCCAGATGGACAGTATGCGGTCAGAGATGAGATCTTCATTCTCACGTATTTTTCAGCATCTTTCCATTCCTATTTCACCAAATGAAGGCACTCAACATGCACCTACACCGGGACACGGCGACGTCACCATTGCACATATGCCTTGTTTGCGGATCATCCAAACATGAATGAGGATGAGTAGCTTCGTGTTTTTTTGTTTTGTTTCAAAGTATGTAATGAATTTATGTTTCAATATGTAATGGATTTTTGTTTCAAGTATGTAATGATTTTTTTTTTTTTTCTAAATATGTAATGAATGTTTAAGATTTAAATTATGTTAGATTATTTTTATTAACTTTAATTCAAATTTTCTAAATTGGCATAATTTAATTTTAGAGAAAAATCAATTTTGTAAAGGCAGTATATAATTTTATAAAAAATAAATAATGTTCAAAACTGAAAGATTTATGACCATATTAAAAACGTGATAATCACAATATCTAACAACCTAACACGGCCGTGTACACATCTATCACATCCATGATCGAAGATGGTGCTCATACACGACCATGTTGTTATTTGCACATGGCCGTGTTACATCGCGAGAACTGTTAGTTCAGATGTACATGACAGTGTTTGATGGGGAACACGGTTGTGTGTAAACATTGTCTGGAATCATGACTGTATAACTATTATACAACTGTGGACATTAGAACACGGCCGTGTTGTTTAACTGGGGGCTGCTGACTGTTTTAAATACGGGCGTATTTGATGTTACACAACCGTGTGAAGTCTAATTCAGCTACCAAGTCGACTCCGTTAAGTCCACGTCAACATATTCCGTTGGTTTAATAACGGTAAGACTAAAATTGATGATTTTTTTTTTTTTTTTTTTTATATTATGACCAAAATTGATGAGTTGCGATTATATTGAGACAAAGAATAATTTTTTTCTTTTATTTTTTATTTAAATTTATTAATAAAAATAATAATAATTATTAATTAAATCTTTAAGTACAATTAAATAAATATTAAAAATTCTCTTAATTAGCCGAGTCGAATCGAATACGAACAAAAAAGAATTACTTAACAAATCGAGCACAAAGAAGTTTTTTAGTTTGTATCTATTAATGAACGAACCCGAGATGAGCCAAACTTGAGTCCTTAATAAACCGAGCTCAAACATAAAAAGTTCAGCTCAATTCACCTCATTTACAGTTCTAACATATAGTAAAGAAATGAGAGAAATGAAAGAAAAAAAAGACAAAAAAATGCCGAATGATTTTTAATTTTTACTTTGCTAGTTCATTTCTAATCGTAAGTACAGTTTAATTGCAATTTCATGCAATTTAGATAATTTATAATTTTTAAATAGTTCATATAAAAGATTTGCTACCAAATAAATTTAATTCTTAAGTTATTAGATTGATAATAGCTCAAACTTTATATTTAGAGAATTTTCACCTCCGTTTAAGTTTAATTAGTTTTGGCAAGTGTCCCGAATCTGCATGTTTATTCATACTTTACATAATTTTTCAATCACAACTCAACGTACCATTTTACTTTTTGTAATAAATTAAAAAGTAATAGTATTTTATTAGTTAGGAGGAGTGCGTAAAATAATTTTGATATTTTTGTTCTTCCACTTACAAAGAAAAATGGTACTTTTGTAAAAAATTAGGAGTCACTACAAAAAAATATCAATTTTGTAACAAGATTTTTTCGTTGTTAAATCCAATATTTCCGTTACTAATGATATTAGAGACGGAATTTGAGATGGAATTACGTTAGCTACGTGAACTTTAGTAACGGAATTCCGTTACAAATATACTATTTTTTTTGCAGTGAGTATTTTAGTCTTTGTATGTAAATTACTTTTACTATATAATAGGAAATGAATATTTTGAATGAAACATACAAAAATAATAAAAAAATGAAATACTTTTAGTTGAAACGGAGAGAATATTTTTTATTTTAAAGAGACAAAATTGCCTAAAATCTCCCTGTGGTTTCGAAACTCTACGTAACTCCCCCCGTGCTTTAGAAATTGTACAGAATACCCCTATGGTTTAGAAAACATTGCACACTCACTCGCTCTTTTGTGGAAAAAGAGTTGACGCTGTTAATTTTTGACACCGAATGACCGTTATGCGCTCGTATATAATTCACCCCACCCCTCCCCAAATTCAACACTATCACCCTAAACGTTACTGCACGCGACCCTCTTCTCCCACCAACGCCCCCTGTCGATGCTGACACACTTTTCGATTTTGCGCCGTCGAGATTCACCATTTTCGAGGCCCGATCCGGTGAAACATCTCATACCCGTTTCTTGTCTATGATGTGACGTCGGGCAACTCTTTGATTTAATTTGTAGGGCTTCGGCGCTATATTTTTTGTGGGAGTCGGCGGCAACCAGGTGGGACCTGAGACGATGAAGGTTGGAGCGTTCAGTACCCGGTAAGTCCAGATTTCACTTTTTCTTGCCAATTTTTGTACATTGCGCCGCTGTTTTTCCTTATTGATTCTAAGTTTTTTCCCCGTTTTAGTAAGGATGGACCTTGTAAGCTCTATAGATTTGGACAAGGTGGGCTATTTCAAAATTTTAATAAGGATCGTGTTTATTATGGAACTTTTCTCTGGATGTACGGAATGGTAGGGGGCGGGCAACTATGGTGTGATTGTACTATACTGATATGCCTCGCCCATCGAGACTCATAGATGGTAACTGTCGGGTACATAAAGGACGATGAGCATATAATGGATATGTTTTGGGTGCTAAGGCAACATGAGGCTATCAATATCATAACCGAAGATGCTTTATTTCTCATGGAGGCGTGTGACGAGCGTTGGCAAACAATTGGAGAGGGAGATGAAGTCCTTGCCATTGATTGGTATGGTATCAAAAAAATTCCTGGTGATGCAGATTTCCCAGTAGTCTTATCTTCCGAATCTAATCTATGTATTGGCAATTAAGAGGCAAATGAAGAATTGAGACGCCGCAAGGGTAAAGGCGTGGTCTCGGAGGACAGCAGTTCATTGAGTGGGACTTATTCGTCAGATGACGAAGACGACGAGGATGAAAGTGGAGCTAATGCTTTTCCTGGAGCTGGGGTTCACAATGATGATGATGATGATGATATGTGGGATTATGAGCAGCATGGGTTTCCCTTAAATCTACACGTTGACGAGGAATTCTTTGATGCGTATGATCATGATAATGATGAGGAAAACAACAATGGTGACGATGATGATGATGATGAAATGGATGACGATGAGTAGCAAGGCGAGCAATTTCATGTTCACGATGACAATGTCGGGGACCCCATGGAAGATGACGAAGGTAACCTACATAACAATGAAGCGAACATAGAATTCGAGCATGACAATTCGAGCATGACATGCCCACCGGTGTGGGGAACCCTAGCTACGAGAGGCCTTCTTGAGCTGACTATTATGATGATTTGAAGACAAGCTACTGAGGAAATTATGGCGACGAGGCTAGCTACAATACAAAGATTCATTTGATGTAGGGTTCGGGATGCATCACGAACAACGCACCTACTATGGTGAAGTGGAGTGGGACTGTCCTGAGCAGGAGGCCGGCAACAGATGCGGGAATGAATAGGATGAGAGCGGGCCCGCTGACGAGATGGATCCCAATGAGGACACGGACACGACCAGAAAGGGTGGAAGTTTTGAGAAATCTAACCGTAGCTCAATACCCGAAGAGTTGAAAGATCCTTCGAACAATGATAATGGTACTAAAGTCTTAGAGGGGGACCAGGAAAGGAGAGGCGGGCAGCCGAGCAGGCCTGCGTAAAGATCGAAAATGAGTGAGGGAGAAGATGGATGGTACAGTGAAAGCAACAAGGTCACTTACAAAAAATTGCATCATTACTAGAACATGCAAAAATAGTGAAACGTAGAATATTTCAACTGCGGGAAAAATACAAAAAAAAATATGTTTCATGTATACCAAATTATTAGTTTTTATCTTTTATTTATCTCATTGGAATATAACTTATACATTTGCAAAAGTCGTTATTTCTGTCATCCGGCCGCGGGTGGTTGCCGGTGGAACAACCATCTTGTGAATATGACGCGCTGCCGGAGGAAAGGAATGGTGATTTTTGCATAGTGTACTTATTATATACTCTTAAAATACATTTCAATACTTTTACTATTATTCTATATACTTATATAATATCTCACTCTACCTCAATTTTTCGCCTGAAATACCTACATTTATTTTATGCATATCTTGATTTTTGTTTTGTTTTTTTTTTTTAAATTAAAATAAAAAAACAGTTAAAGACACATTATTCATGCATGCTAAGAAGGAAACTACCACCCATGATTTTAAAAAACCTTAAGTTTCAATTAAAGTACTCATGGTCTCTGCAAAACATCCAAACTCCGTCAACCAATCTTTTCGAAAAATGACGAGAAAAAATTGACAACCCATTCTGTCACCGTCACAAGACTGTGTGGGAACATGTGTTGGTGTTCATTTATTCTAATGGCATAATCGAACTACTTTTTGATCAACCGATCAAAGGTGAGATCATTGGCGCGTACTTTTAGTACCTCTGCAATTCTACCTTTTGGAAGCAACAAAATGGCACAGTGCGGTGTGGTTGTTTGTCCTGATTTGTGTCGGTAAGTTAGTAATTTGTTATTTGTATGATTAATTTTATTTTTCTAGTTTTTATATTTTAAAAATGTTACATAATAACAAATTATAACAACATCAATGGCTATATATATTATAAATATTTATTTTTATACCTTTTGAAATAAAAATAGCATAATTTCTCGTTAGAAAAAAAATCCACACTTATTATTATTTGTTTATTTTGATTTTTTTTACGTATTCAAAGGTCATTCAAATGACACATAAAATTCGATTTGTAACGTGCATATGGTTTGTAGGTTTCTATATTGAATTGATGATCTCGATAAATTTATTTGGAATTTCAGCTTCCAGGATTGAATTGGAAGAAATGAAGAAAGTAATGTACTTGTTGTCCGTGCATATGGTATAACAGCTCACCGATGTTATTTTTTTTTTCTTCTATGAATGGTTTGAATGTAGCATGAAAATTTTATAAATTTGTAGAAAGTATGCATAACTGGCCATGACATACTCCTTGACTGCAAACAAGATTCTCCCAAAAGAAGTAGATATGCTCATGTACATTTTTATGTACTCAATAACTGTACGAGATTGTTTACAAAAGACAAGACGTTATGTCGTTGCTGACTGTTTATTCATTAAAGTGTTCATAAGATGTTATTTTTTAGTGGATGCGCAATTGGTTTGCTTTCAACCAGACATTTTTTTTTTTGAGTAAACTATTTTTTTAGTTCCGTAACTGTACCCCTTGTCATTTTAGTCCCGTAAGTGGAGCCTGTTGCAAACTAATCCTATAAGTGAAAAATTTTCGTTGTTTTAGTCCTCCGGCACCGGAGACGCCCGCGTGGCTCGCCAGAAGCGACGTGTCCGCCAGGTCAGCGATACCTGGCGGACACGTGGATTTTATTATTTTTTTTAATTTTTTAAAATTGATTTAAAATTGACTTTTAATTTTATTTGCCTTTTTTTAATTTTTTTATTTTGGTCAAATTGATAAAAAATTTTTAAAAAAATTAAAATAAAATAAAATAAAATATAATCCACATGCCCGCCAGGTGTCGCTGACTTGGTAGGACACCTGGCGAACACGTGGCTTCCGGCAAACCACGCGGGCATCTCCGGCGCCAGAGGACTAAAACAACGAAAAATTTTCACTTATGGGACTAATTTGCGACATGCTCCACTTACGAGACTAAAATGATAAGGGATCCAGTTACGAAACTAAAAAAACAGTTTAGCCTTTTTTTTTTTTTAATTTATAAAATATGGTTATAGTTTCGTGATAGCGTACTAAATACTCAAAATTAGAATATATATGCTTATACATGTTTATAGTGTATTCACAGTTTTTTTCCAACCCAATTCATATTGATGAACATTCTACTAAGATTGTAATTTATATTCGTTAGCGTCTAATATTGTCCATATCTAAAAGCTAAAATTCAAACCCTAAGATTGGACACAATATATGTATAAATAGCTTTACAATGTCAACCACAATGACATTGCAAGTGTTTCAACATTTGTTGAACTTTTCATCAAAGTATAATAGAGGAGAACATAGATCGTGCTCTCACCTAGTTCTTTTATGTCTCATCTCTTAGAGGATTGACTGTTTAAGAAATCAACTACATTTATGGATACCTGATACTTCATATCTAGTACCTTAGATTTCAATATATATACCTCTATGGTCTGTGTTTATACTCGGCACGCATTCACGTACCAATATACACTATACTTATGTTATGGTTCACTAGTTATGTACCTATAGTATAATATCAAATACTCCGTGTACACGTACTTATGCCCAGGGAATCCCTACTTGAGAAATCAATCATCTTTGCTATCATATACCCCCTTGTAGTGGTAACCAGGAATGAATTCAACATGATAGTATTTCCACCAAATCCTGAAGAGTATTAAAATGCAAAGAGTACATGTTTATAAGAATTTAATGGGGAAACACCATCATACATATACAATAAATGTTCAATATCTACTTGTGGATGGTAAACAAAATCATTAAGAACTTAGTTAATATATTTTCCAATACTAGGCTAAACTTCCGCTACTACGAAATTATTAAACAATCAATGCCATTTAAATTTGTTCTCATGAAGTAACATAGGGCAAAGGTTTTGCTTACTTGAAAGAGTGAATTGTAATATACTATTATAACTTTGAGTGTTTTCCACATAATAGGATAAACAATTGTCTTTTATAATATTTTGATCCATAACATAATAATCCAAACCGTAGGAACTCATTTAGAGAATTCTCCGCCGTTGTAGGAACTTAACTAAATTAAAAGATACTTACTACTTTACAGATAATAACTTTGAAATGTATATATACACTCATAAACCCAGTGTTAATACTTGACTACTTTATTCACGTAACTATATAATTTATTTTTATGTCATGTTTTCATTCTCACATATCCATATACACATTTCAAATACTCCAAATTTGCATACTTGCCTATGTAACCTCAATTCGGAAAACCGATCATTTTGGGAACTATATAACTACTCTTGATACTTTTACCGGGGTAAATTTCATAAGATAATATTCTCACTCATTCTTGGAGAGTATCTATTTGCTATAAATGTTATACATATATATTTATTCCATCCAAGTCTCATGGCATTTATATTAAATTTAACTTCAAAAAAATATTATTAAAAAAATAACTTAAGGGGCTTTTTGTATGTATTCAATTAAACATTACTAATAAAATTGTAATAATATCATACATATTTTGTGTCTCATAAAAATCTATTAGATTGTTGCACTTCTATCTATGTTTATAGTAATAGATATATTGCACAACACTAGGTGTTAGTATATTGAGATGTTGCTGAAAATCAAATACTCATAAAAATTTTAAGAGTGCACCCATATATACCTATGCATTGATAATATATACATAAGTAAACATGATATATAATATAGAATTTCTAGTATATACCTTCATTTATAACGTATAAAATCTAGTTGCAGATTCATATGTACTTGAATGATATATGTATACTTATGGAAGAAACTTAGATATTAGTATTTAGTATCTGTACACTTTAGTAAAATAAAATAGTTGATCGTGTAATATATATTCATTAAAATAAAAGAGGTTATCTTAATAATTCCATAAAAATATTGACAAAATCACTTACACATAATCATTAGAGATGTTTGGTCTCATTTGTTCAATTATACGTTTTTATTTTATAATGTTATTTCAATACCATCGTTCTTTTGTATTTAATTTAGTAAGGACATTTGGTTGTTGTGTCTTTGTCCAAATTTTATTGAAATAAATATATTTTACTAACATCATGTATTAATATATGGATTGGAATACCATTGAAAACCAAATAAGTTTGCACATTTTGCGGATACAACCTATTGATCCTTATATACCCAAGTATTGATAATATAAACTTTTATATGCATAATGCTACTTTATTGATTTTAGTAAATACGTCAATTAATGTGCAATAAACTTATACTGCAGTATCATATGCCCCATAAAGGTATGCATATCCACCAATAGAACAAAACAGTTGGTTGTATGATATATATGCAATTCGATCAAATTATAGAGGTTACAAATTAGATTTCACCTATTCAATGACACATT